GACTTGCTGTCTACTGCAGCTTTTTTGAATGAGTGAGAGTGGCTACCATTAATTGGTCTACTGAAACAGTAGTTCCACAGTCCAATATTTTTTCGCCATTGAGACACATCAATCATCTTGTACTATAGCAATGAAAGGAATTAGGTAATTAGTGAGCCAATCAGTATGCACACTCTTAGCTACACAATCAGGAAAGTAGGACTACTTTTCTACAACACTAGCCAGGGCAGAAGCTTAGACTATAGGTAGAATGATGGGTTTATTTGTTTATAGCTATGTGCAATAACACTGCATGAATATCATTAGTGTCACTATATCTTTTGATGTTAATCTATGTGATGTGCATGTGTGTGGCATGTGGTAGCTTTATAATTTTCCACAAAACATTCAGGTTGAAATGCAAAAACAAGAGCATATTTTAAAACAAAGACATATTTTAAATGAAAAAGCAGGAAGCATAGTTGTTTGTTTTTTTTAAGTTTGACATTAGATAACTTAAATCATAAATCCTAGATTCTTTGAATATGATTAACACTAGATGCCTAAAGGTGATTTTTGAGCCATTTTTTGGATAAAGCATGGGCCATATCATGTACTCTTGGCTATATAGTACAGGATATTTGAAGTGGCCATAGCTCAAAAATATTTTTAGTTGAAATGAGCTCAAACTTTGTGCATACCATAACTATGTATCAAGAAATGTAATAAAATTTGAGGGTAGTTTTGGAACCATTTTTTGGACATAGCATAGGCTCTTTTCAAAAAATTGGCCAATTTTTTAAAATGGCTATGACCAAGAGTAGTATAACTCCAAAATTTTAGTTGGAATTAGCTCAAACTAACGTGTAAAAAAATATAGTGAAAATTGGGGTGATTTTTTTAGCCATTTTTGGAAAAATTGGCATTGGGTTAGGGCCTAATGGCTTTTGCAGACTGAGTAATACAACTGTTTATAAACCATGTAGCACTCATTTTAGTATTTATAATTTATAGTATAGTTCCACATTCAATGAAGCTAAGACAGTACTATCACAACTTCCTTTAGTCACAAGACCTTTGAATACTATACTTAATATAATACTCAGTCTAAGTTAGCCTTAGCCCACCCCTGCCCAAACTAAGTTTAGCCTTTCACCTTTCCTCCTCCTTTTCATTGGTCTTGTTTGCTCTCATCAGTAACTTATTGCCTCTAATCTTCTCTTGTGTCCTGTCTATTCTACTTGTTTTCATTTGCATTTATTTGGACTTCTCATTTTTCCTTGTTTTAACTTCATTTACATCTTTAATTTTTTGAAATGGCAACCAAACCATCTTTATCTTCTTCTGGCCTCCTCAAACTGGAGGAACAGCTCACCTGTCCTGTGTGTCTCACCCACTATACCAACCCTAAAATCCTACCCTGCCATCACTCATTCTGTCAGCACTGTCTGGAGGGATTACCTCTGGATAAGAAGAATGAGACCTATTACCTCTCTTGTCCCACTTGTCGTCATTGTACAGAGTTACCAGAAGAAGTAGCAGGAGCCTTTCCTGTAGCATTCACTCTCATCACCCTTAAAGAGATATATAGTGGAATGAAGAAAGTAGCTGATCCTCAACAGGTAACCTGTGACAAATGTACTACAGCTAATGCCACTGGATACTGCAAAGACTGCAGTAAGTTCCTTTGCACAGAATGTGATGGAGTACACAAGAAATGGGGGCCTACTTCAAATCATCATCTGACAAGTCTTGATGAGGTCATTGAGGTGTCAGCCTCTTTCTCTTCTAATCCTAAATTGCTAGCTCCAGCTAAACAGGAGGCAACCCTCACTTGCTCTGTACCTAGTCATGATGAGCCATTGAGGTATTACTGTGACACATGTGATGAATCTATCTACCGTGATTGTACATTTGGTACTCATAAAGACCATAAGTACGACTTAGTCTCTATCAGTCACACTAAACACTATCAAGACTTGGAAGGTTCTCTTAATCCGGTAAAAGGGAAAATTGAAGCACTCAAGAAGGTCATGTCTGCTCTAACAGAGAGAGAGGGTGAGATCAGAGAGAAAGGACAAGGAGTCTTAGAAGAAATACACAACATGGTAGAGGAAATGGTGGATGTTCTTCGTCAGTCAGAGAAGACACTGATTGAGCAGGCAAAGAGGGTCACTGATGATAAATTAAAGGTGCTTTTGGGACAAATCAAATCAGCGGAAATGAGTTTGGGCCTTCTAGAGGATGTTGAGAATTATGTGGAACAGAGTCTGAAGACAGGCAATCCTCAACAAGTCCTGAGGTCTAAGAAAAAGATGATGAATCGTATGAGTGAAGTTACTGCAGGGATCAATGTAGAGGAGTTACATCCAAAGGAAGAAGCTGACCTTATATTAATTAAAGATATGAAATCACTACATCACATTGGAGATGTTATCTCTCCAACACAATGTAAAGCAAAAATTGGCAGCTTTGGGTGGTTACCAAAACAAGAAATTGTGTCATTTTCACTATCACTTGAGGCACCAGATTCATCTCTTTTGTCTGTTCCCCTCTCTTCTCTGAGGTGTAGTCTAGTACCAGTTGGTAAAGGTGATCAACCCATTCACACTACAGTCACTACCACCAGCACTGATCCTGGCGGAGTGTATAGGATACAGTGTAACCTTTCAACACATGGTACTCATACAGTAAAAGTACAAGTATATGGTTTACACTTTGTAGATACCTCCCTAGATATCCCATTCAATCCTTACCTTGATAACATCACTCCACTACATACTGTAACTGAGCTTAATCATCCCTGGGGAGTTTGTGTAAGTGATGATAATCATGTTATGATAACTGAGTGTAAAAGTCACTGTGTAACAATACTGGATAAAGAAGGAAAGAAAGTGAAATCATTAGGAGGGGAAGGAGGAAGTGGTAATGTAAAGTTTAATTCTCCTCGTGGTATAGCCATTACTCCAGATAAATTCATTCTTGTATCAGATAATCACAGGATCCAGAAGATAAGCATGGATGGATACCGCATAGCATTATTTGGTGAGGAGGGAAGTGAACCATTACAATTTAAAGATCCTGCAGGTATAGCCATTTCTTCGATAACAGGACAGGTTTATATTGCTGATAGGTATAATCATCGTATACAAGTCTTGAATCCAGATCTATCTTTCTCTCATTCATTTGGTAGTGAAGGATCAGCTGATGGAGAGTTCAAGTGTCCAAATGACATTGCTATTGACAATCAAGGATTAGTGTATGTTACTGATTTTGGTAATCATAATATTCAGAAGTTCTCTCGAGATGGAAAGTTTATTAGTCAGATTGCTACTAGAGATGGTCCTGGACAGCTTACTAAGCCAGTAGGTATAGCAATAGATACTGCAACAACTGGTCTAGTGTATGTTAGTGAAATGGGTAGTAATCGTATCTCAATCTTCACTAGTGATGGTGTATTTGTGCGTTGCTTTGGAAGGAAAGGAAAAGAAATAGATCAGTTTAGTGATCCATATGGATTAGTATTTAATAAAGATGGCTTTTTATGCATTTGTGATGCAAAAAATTCCCGTTTGCTAGTTATTTAGCTAAATATTTTATTATTAATTATTTCTTGTTTGTATTTGTTTGCTGCTTTGCTTTCTTTATTGTCATAAAACATTTTAATTTAAAAGTTTTTATTTGGTGTTTACGAAGGATATCTAAGTCAGTAAGATTTCAATGAGTATGATAATAGTATCCACTTTCCACTCATTACATTAATTTCTGACAGTCTTAGTGATACCAAGAATGTTAGATCTAACTATTTAAATTAAAGGAATGTCAAAAGTGTATTGTTTGATATTTGATTGTATTTTCACAGTTAATTATTAGCTAGCTATTTTACATTTATTATTCATTATTATAGCTGTCACATTTTTGCAAAAAATAATAGTACTACAGACACTTGATTATAATAACTGATAGATCTATTCTACTGAAATTATTTTTTTACTGTCTAGTCTGTTGACTAATAAGCTATGGCAGGAAAAAGGTCAGTATGGGAGCCCATATTTGCCTGTTCTTGAGTTACTGGTACCTCTTGTTCTTTATAGACTATGAACCAGTGAAAAGAAAGGGACACTCCACTGTCCAGGTAGGAGACTACCTGTATATGTGTACATGTAATCATGTGATTATCATTCTACAACTCCTCCATGTTCTCTTAATGAATGGGTATACAAGAGGAACTAAGAGACAAACCTCATGGTCTGTGGGGTAAGGCATTGGCAAACAAATACAATAATTAAGGTTTCTAAAGAGGATCCTTCAAATATTCTTGACAGGATAAAGAAGTTGTCTTTTGCAAAAGTTAACAGGTATATTATGTATAACATCCACACAAGAAAAAATTTGAGCAACTTCTCATGTATTTTTACACTTTGTATTTGTTTAAATATTTATTTTGTATAGTGTATTAGAAGAAAATCCAATTATTTTAAAGTTGAACAATAAAGGTATGAGAAGGTTGAAGGACAAATTTTGCTCTATTAATTAACATTGTTTCTTATTCCTTCCTCATACTTCTTGTATTTCCCAATCCTCCTCCTTTACTATGTCTCCCTCTTCCTTTCCTTCTCTCTTGCTTTTCTATTTTACTGCCCCTCCTCAAGTCCTCCTCCTCCATTTCTTAAGATTGGCTCCTCTCCTAGCTCTTTCTCTCTCTCTTTGTTAGCTCCTCGCTCTTCCTTTCTCCCAGTAAAATTATCAGCTCCATCAGTTATATAAATGCATGCATATTTGTAGCATCAATAAGAGTATTACAATGCATAAGTTTTCTATATTTTCCCTCCGCAAAGAAGAGGAACAGTGAACTTAAATCCTGAAGTGCATGACTTAAAAATTCATGATTCATTGTGTTCAGCTTGATATATAATTTTAAAAAGTATTTATGGCTATATTTTATCTGTCCATGTGTTGTCATGTGACATTACCGAGCTAAGTGCTTCTCTGGCTTAAAGGATTATCCTGCTGCTAGAAGAAAGTTGAAAGAAATGTGGGTTTTTAGCCTATTTCCAAAGTCTCAGAATATGCTACATAACAGTCCACTTTAGAGGTACCAAGCTTGTTCATTGAAGGAGAGCTCATCTAAGCCATTAATTTACAAAATGGTCACAATCTTGAACAATTCACTATACACACTAATACATAAATAATCACAGTAATCAAAACTAAGAATTCCTTGACTTTAATCTCCGTTCTTGCAGTGTCAATTCAAATCACACAAAAAAAAACAAAACATGCATGCAGAAGAAAAAAATTAAATGATGCATGCATAAAAAAAAGAACTAGCTATAAGTGTAAAAACAAACAAAACAGCTGACATAAATCAACTAGATCTATAACTACAGATAGCTACAATAGTAATTACATAACAAACTAAGTTAATTTTAATTAGTTACAATTAAAATTTCATAATATCTATTGAAATAATATATATATATATATATATATATATATATATAAATTGGTAACAAACTAGCTTCTCACTTACTTTCAGCAACTGCCTTTTGACCATTTTCCCTGAGAGCATTTTTCAATGAAGTCAATGTTGGTCCACCTTTATCATCTACTTTGTCATTTCTTAGTAGCCATTTGTGCAAACATTCAATCAGAGCACTAAAAACGTCATTCTTCTTTTCAATTTGAATAGTATTTAATGTATGTTTGTACAAACCCAAGCTAAGACATAGTCTTTCCCAAGCACTGATATCATAATAATTATTCGTTAATAATAATATGACTTGATCCAAATTTGTAACGTCCAGTTGTTTTTCTATTTGTTTAAAAGTTAAGGTAGATTTACAATATTACACTTGGCCAGTGTATTTTCAGTTAATTTTTTTATCAAAAAGCAATAAAGCATGCATGCATTCTATAGAGTTGAACCAAATTCAACTTTAGCATCAACATACTGTCAAGTCTATTGTAAATCTGCCTTAATACTCACCCACATGTACTCCATGATTTTTGTCATCATCTTTAACTAGAAATCATAAAATAATCTGAGGATTATTATCATGAAACTTACTTGAGTTTGTGTAAAATGTAACATTTGCTGGCTCCATACCACTAAAATGGAGTGTTACATTTTCCTTTTCATATTCATGACCTTTCATGGATAGTGTAAACTGCATGTTGCTTTGAATAGAATTTTGACTCAACAGCTCATCTTTGTAATACTGTC